TATATATATATAGTGTAACTATAGAATCTGAAAAAAAAATAAGATACCAAATTTAGCAGTTCTTAAGAAAAAAAAAAAAATCAACAGACAAAACATATAGGAATTGAGACCAAGGATCAGTGAAGATTCTTCTGATCTGGGTATATTTTACGTGCAGAACTGCAGAGTCCATCACTTGGAGTTGTATTCCAGTGTCCTCAGGGCAAGCATGCAGAAGAATATGTCATGTTTTCTTAAAATTACCTTTTTAAAAACTTTAGGTCTGGCTTTCATATTTCTGTATTACTAGTTTAATATATTTCTTGGGAAGGATTTTTAGTCCAGTTTTATGAAAATAGAGGAATTACTCAGAACCAGGAAGGTTACTTTCTATTTTTTTAATCTTAAAACTGGAAAATTTTTTGTTGTTCAGTTTTCTTAGCATTTACATACATGTGAAATCGTTGCAACTAACTTTAAAACTTGTGAAATAGTTTTCCACAAGAATGTCAACCTTTGATATAATTAGCTCTAAGGTTTATGGAGCTGCAGAATTAAATAAATGATCGCAGTATTTCCTTCACTGAAGCCTTAATAGTCTGGTTTGACTAATAATGGTATTTACCACTTCAGTAGTTGATCACTGTGGTTGGAACTAGATGATCTTAAGGTCTTTTCCAACCCTAACTATTCTATGGTTCTGTGATTGTAAGCAAAAGAACAATATGATGAATACCTTTAACAGAGTAAGCTGATTTGAAGCACAGTATTGGTCAGGATGTGATCATTATCAACCATAATCCATTTGGAGGGGAAGAAAAAAGTCAGTTGCCTTCCTTACTGAGCCCTACTCCTGACTTTCCAAACGTGATATGTATCTATACAAATGCTAGACATTACTTTACAGGTGTCTAAATTAAAAATTCTTATGAATGGGTATTTGCTATCACTTCAATAAAGCTAAATTGGAGACTGCTTAAATATGGAAATCACTGCACGAAGCTGTTAGTCATCATCACAGTACACATCTAGTATGTGTAGGTATGTGTACTTTACCTTCCTTTGACCTTTTATTTATTGATATTACAAAAGTACTGTAGTATTTTAGTATTATATACCCTCCTACTTTATACAGCGCTAATTTTCCCATGGTGAAGCAATGATGTTTAATCAAATTATATTGATAACATCAGTGGAAATTACTTGGTAAGCATGGTTTTAATCTAGGATTTAAAGAAAAAGTAAGCACCACAAAGATAACTATTCAGATTTTTAGATTAAGATTCATGGGGAATTACATCAAGGGGAAAAACATCCTTGTATTTTGTTTTCTGTGTAGAAGCTAATTTAAACATAAGCAAAGTGTAATAGGCACTGAAGAGACCATTCATTTGAGCAGTGTTTTGAGTAAAACAGACAGTATCCAAAAGGAGTTCAAAGAGCTTTTTGTAAGTTGAAATGAAAGCTTAATTAAAAAATAAAGTCAGAAAACTCATCACAGTAATCCTGGTTTTGCTTATTTATCTAGCACAGCTGTAGCTAAAGGGGTTTTGTAGAATGTTTATCAACTCCAAAACCTTTTGTATTCTGGCTATTCCTGAGTAGGGTTGCTTTTCATTATGGTTCTTATAATGTGATGGTTGGTTATGGGATATAGGGGGTCAGGAAGATTTAGGGTATAGGAAGCTTTTGCATAATGCTTATTGCAGTCAATATTCTGTTTCTTTTGTATTTTACATGTTTTCTTTGTATAGATTTTTAATGGCTGTAAAGATCTTTGTCTCGATGTTTTCATCTGAAGTTTTGCCTTTATAACTGCTTTTTTAAGGCATTCCCAGTGTAGAAAGTCTTACTGAATTCAAGGTCTAAAGAAATCTACTTCTTTGTTGAAGTGAAGGTCATTTTACTTCCAAGAAGTGATGAACTTTCTGAGATTTGCTGGATCAAAATCTTGTCCGTGTGCTTCTGTTGTCAGTCGTATGGATTCTTCTTAGTCCTAAAATACTTTATCCCAGCCTCATCACCCACACTTTTGACATGTTGCTAGCAAAAGATGTATCTCCTTACTTCCAGGCTTTTAAGACTATTTTTTGTTCCTGTTAGTCTGGGGTTGAATTCTGATCTTCAGACAACTTAAGCCTCACATTCTCAGAGCCTGGCTCTTGGTGAGAACTTAAGTCATCCTGATCCCTGATGAAAGGGCAGTACAGAAGAGCTCAAGCAACCTAGGAGATCTCTCAAGTGCATTGATGACAACTTCCTACCACAATTGATGGAGAAGCCAACAAGGAAATGTACTTTCCTGGACCTGATGCTTACAAAGAGTAAAGAACTGGTCATGGGCATGAAAGTTAAAGAAAGCCTGGGCTACAGTGACTATGAGATGATGGAGTTCAAGATCCTAAGAGAAGGCAGCAGGGATAAAAAGCAGGACGACAGCCCTGGATTTCAGGAGAGCAGACTTTGTCCTCTTCAGAGCTCTTCTTGGGAGAATCCTATGGACTGTGGCCTTGAAGAGAGGAGGGGTCCAAAAGAGCTGGCTTGATACTCAGTGATTGCTTCCTTTAAGCTCAAGAAAAGACCATACCAACAAAGAGTAAATCAAGCAAAGATGGCAGGCATGAAGGAGCAAAGAGGTCCTAAATTAACTCGGATGTAAAAAGGAAGCATACAAAAGGTGCAAGCAGGGGCAGGTCACCCTGGAGGAGTGTAGATCTCCTGTCCAGTCTTGCATAGGTGGGGTTAGGAAAGCAAAAGCCAGCCTGGAGTTGAATCTGGAGAGGAATGTGAAGGGCAGCAACAAAAGGTTCTGTAAGTACATAAACATCAAAAGGAAGGCTAGGGAAAACATGGGCCCACTACTGAGTGGGGCAGTGGAGTTGGTGATAGATAACATAGAAAAGGCCATGATGCTTAATGCTTGCTGCCTTTGTCTCAGGCTTTACCAGTAAAATCAGCTTTCAAGAATACAAGGCCCCTGAATCTAGACAGAAAGTCTGGTGCAAAGAGGACTTACACTTGGTTGAGTAGAAACAATTTAGCAAGTGGTTGAACAAACTGAATGCGCATGAATTCATAGGGCCTGATGGGTTGCACCTGTGAATACTGATGGACTTGGCTGATTCTATTCTAAGGTAACTCTTGATTATTTTTAAATGATCGTGGTGATTGGGGAAGTTGGGAAAGCAAGTATCATTTCTATATTCATGAAGGGCAAGAAGAAAGCTCTGGGGAACTACAGGCTAGTTGGCCTCATCTCATCCCTTGGGAGGCGATGGAGGAAATTCTCTTGGAAAAGATTTCCAAAGTCATGAAGGACAAGAAGGTGATCATGAGTAGTCACTGTGGATTTACAAATCATTCATGATTGACCAATCTGGTAGCCTTCTGCAGTGAGGTGACTAGCTTGGTGGGCAAGTAGAAAGCAGTGGATGTTGTTTACCTTGGATTTAGTGGCGCCTTTGGCACTTATCTCCCATGACAACACAGACAAGCTGACAAAGTGTGGGTTAGATAAGTACACAAGTGAGGTTGCTTGCAACCTAGCTAAAAGACTAGGCTCAGAGGGTTGGGATCAGTATCAGAAAGTCCAATTGGAAGTAAGTCAGTAGAGATGTACCCCAAGCGTCGATACTGGGGCCAAGACTATTAACATCTTCATTAATGACTTGGGTGATGGGACAGAGTGTGTTTGCAGGAAGTTCACAGATGTTGCAAACCTGGGAGAAATGGCTGGAACACAAGATGGTTGCACCACCACTCAGAGGTACCTTACCAGGCTGGAGGATTCTCATGAAGTTTAATAAAGGGAAAGGCAGAGTCCTGCATCTGGGGAGAAATAACCCCATGCACTAACCCAGACTGGGGACTGACTGGTTGTAAAGCAGCTTGGCAGAGAAGGACCTTGGGGTCCTGGTGGACAAGTTGAAAATGAGCCAGCAATGCACCCTTGTGGCAAAAAAGACCAACCGCATCCTGGGCTGCATTAAGAACAGTCTTGCCTGCGGGTCAAGGGAGATGCTGCTTCAAGGCACTGCTAAGGCCACATCTGGAGTACTGTGTTCAGTTCCCCAGTACAAAGAGAGGCATGAGTCCAGTGCAGGGCCACGAAGATGAGTTAGGGATCTGAATATCTCATATGAGGAGAGACTGAGACAACTGGTACTGTTCAGTCTAGAGAAGAGAAGGCTCAGGAGTACGATTAAAGGATGGGAGGGAATGAAGATGGAGCTGTGCTCTTTCCAGTAGTGCCCACTGAAAGGACAAAAGACAATGGCACAAATAAAACCACATGAAATTCCACCTGAACACAAGAAAATCTTTTACTGTGAGGGTGGTCAAACACTGGAATAGGTTTCCTGGAGATGTTTTGGAGTCTCCATTTGCGAAGATACTCAAAACTGGACTGGATATGGCCTTGGGCAATGTGCAGTAGCTGGCTCTGCTTGAGCAGGGAGGTTGGACTAGATGAGCTCAATGAGTGCTTTCCAACCTACATGATTCTGCAATTTTCCATGTCTTAAGTTCAGGCTATAACATCCTGTGTAATGACTGTGCATATAAAGTAGCTTTGGCCAGAAAATGTGTATCCTTGTAATCCCAGAAATAAACATTTTGAGACGCAGACTTTTTGACTGTTCAGGAAATTGTCACCCTGTCTTACCTAAAAGGTCTTCAGAAGATGAAGTCATAACTTCAGATATTCCAGTGAATAGTGCTCTTTCAGTCTACCTCTTCTACTGCTCCCACCAGCAGAACTGACCACAGACACAGGAGCTGCTCTGATGGTGCCCATAAGCCCAGGAAGCCTGGCTATGCAGCAGCTGCTGCCTGGTGCAAACAGAGCTATTGCACAAAAGATGGAAATCAGTGCTTGTTTGGTTTCATTGGTTTTGTATATTAGTGCTATGCTAATGTTGTTTATAGTCATGGTTTCTTGTGTGTATAGTCCTAACATTTGTATTTATTTTTAATTTACAGGATGGAGGTCTGCTGCTAAATAATCCTTCTGCACTGGCAGTTCATGAGTGCAAGTGTCTTTGGCCAGATGTTCCACTGCAGTGTCTAATATCGCTGGGCACTGGTCGATATGAAAGTGAAGGAAAGACCAACGTCACATATACCAGTCTGAAAGCCAAACTCACAAATGTCATCAGCAGTGCAACTGACACAGAAGGTCAGTGTCTTAAGATATGTCTGTATTGCAGTTGTTCTCAGGTTTTTATGCTTCACAGAATTACAGTTCCAGTTCAGAGTGATCTGCAACCTTTGATCTTTCCCCTTCTCTCTACCTGCCCCATTGAAACTACTTGAAATGTGTCTCTCTCTAACTCACTATGTGTAGTTCGTGTTTTAGTACCAGCATTACAGGTTTTGTGGAAATGATAACATGAATACATTGCTTAGCCTTTTCTCCATGAATCTTTTTTTTCATTATGTTGTTGCTAAGCTCATTTAGTTTATGAATTCTTAGCTGTGAATATGAGGTTGATAATGTAGGTATAATAAAGATAAAAGATACCTTAAAATTTATCAGAATGGCCATGAAAATCCAACAGGATAACATGCAGAGTGGTATGTTATAACTTGTGCTTCAGGATAGAGGCATACTCGGGAATTAGTTTCAATAGGAAAATCATATTTTCTTACATTTGGATTGTTCTTCCTATAAAATGAAATGCTTGAATAGTTAATTTAGAACATTGATTGCCTTTCAACAGCTTCAGAAAAAGTACTTTAGTTCTTTTCTATGTGTGCTTTTATACCTGGACTTTTCAAGGACTAGACTGTACCTGCCAAAGGTCATAACCATAAGGGAAACTGATACTGTAAAAAGCTAGGAAACAAGAAATACTCTTACGGTCTAGTTCCCCTGCTGCATGATCTCTGTCAGTTGACTGTCATTAGTAAGGAAAAGCTAGACTTTTGGGCTACCTTTGTATTTTGCACAATTGTGGACAGGCAGTGGGAATTGTGGGAGAGAGTGCCATGCTGTCCACTTTCTATCCAGGGAAGAAAAGGTTTCATTGCAGATGAAAAATCGGGCAAGAAATTTGATGGGGAAGAGGAAGAAAGGAAAGGTTATGGTGGAGACCAAGGGAGAGGAAATGGAAAGAGGAGAAGAGTAGATTTGAGCAAATGGGTAGTTACGTTATGAAGGAAAAAGGAGCATTAAACAGGGCACCAAAGACCAGATGTGTTGAGACAAGAACAGAGACATAGTGTAGTAATTTACAGGAGGATGGACCAAGCAGAGAAGATTTCAGGTTAACAAGAATCTTCTGCTGTAGTCTTACCCATGGTATTTTTTTCTTTTCACTTTAAGATTTTTATATGACAGTAGATGTCTAAAAGAATGGAGAAATGTGGTAGAAATACAAAGAAGTTGAAAATAAAAGAGAATGAAAGATGAAGGAGGTCATGGAAATGTAATTTTGAGGGAGTCAATGAAGAGGAGTTCTGAAACGAGGAAGGAAATGGGTTATAAAAGAGGAAAAAGGAAGAGAGGAACATACCAGTACATTACATAGCCAGTTTATTATTGTGCTAGTTAACTGTTATAATTTATTGTGAACATTTTAAATTAAATGAATGTTAAACCCAAAATCTGTAGTAGTATATAAAAAATAATTTAGTTACAAACAAAAGAAAGCTTTAAACCTACATATTTTTTACTGCAGTCTGAGAGAAGACTATACAGCTGTCATTTTCACAATACCTACTTCCCTTAGTACTGAGTGTGACAAATCATGGCTATCCTGAATTGGAATGTGTAAGTTAGATGTCTGCTCTTCAGCATGCACTCTAACTTGTAAAGGAATGGAATGTACATGTAATTAAAAATCTGGATAGCTGCAAAGCCTTATTAATTGTCAACCAGTGACACTGGTGCAGAGTAAAAGAAGCAGTTTCTCCAGAGTCAACAGAGCTACAGAGTCATTTGCAAACCTTCTAATGAGAAAGGGGTTTTGATAAAGCAGTGGTGGAAGAACATTTACTCAGCAAAGCAGCACATATTTACACTTACCGTGTCACTGCAGAGCACTTGTTGTTCAGAGACCATGAAGGACTATTTGTCTGTCTCATGTAAATATAATGGTTCCCTTCATTTGTATTCACTGCAGAAGTTCACACCATGCTGGATGCACTGTTACCTGCAGATACTTACTTCAGATTTAACCCTCTTATGAATGAAGACATACCTCTAGATGAAAGTCGTAAAGAGAAACTCAACCAGCTGCAGACAGATGGAATTCGGTATTTAGAACGAAATGAAGAAAAACTGAAAAAAGCTGCAAAAGTATTAATGCAAGAAAAAACAGTTTTGCAGAGACTTCAGGACTGGATGCGGTTGAAGACTGACATGTATGAAGGCCTTTCGTTTCCTTCCAAATTGTGAACATGTGATGCATGAAAGATCATAAATATAAATGTCGTTCCAGAAAATCCGTTCAGTACTGTAAAGGAAATATGTTTAGTGGGGGTAAACAACATCTTTGGAAAGCTCTCAGTTCTGGAGAAAGCAATTCCGGATGGCTGGTTTGTGCACACTTGCTTAATACAGGGGTTTATGGTGTTAATTATTTTTTGACCTTTACAGATCTTACTGTTGCTCTGAAGTTTCTTAAAGTCAGTAAAACTTAAAATTGTGAAAAACAATTGTCATGCATTTTTGATGTATGTACCATAATTATGGTGGCAGTAAATCTTTATTTATCAACTGTCAGGCTTATTCAAAACTAACAAAAACTTAAAACCCTCATTCACTTTAATGTAGGCAACATGCCTGTAGGCTCTTGTGTAGCCAGTGAATTTAACAGAAATGTAACGTTCTTACCAAAACTTTGCCTGTGTTAATTGCACTTTTACATCTGAAAGATGACATTTAAATTCTTTTTTTTTTTTTTTTTTTTTTTTTTTAATTTTCAGTGGATTTTGTACATAACAGTATTGACTAAGATATTTGGATGACTATAAACAGCGTATTAAATTATCAAAATGAAGATAACTTTTAGGACTTGCTGCTTATTGTTTTTATCAGGATAACTTCAGATTGGTTCATTCATTACTTGAAAATAATCCCAAGCCACAAACCTTCACTCGAGCAGCTATTCCTGTCACAGGATAAAGGGAAATAAAATCCTGAAATAGTTCGCCTGAGGGAGCAGCTTATGATAGAAGCTTCAGCTTTGGATACCAAACATGACATGTCTCTAGTCAAAAAGAAAATTAGCAGTTGATATATGAAATAATAAATTATGCATTTCCTTTTGTTTTCTAATTTTCATATCTGCATCCTCTTGAAATTGCCTTACAGTTGTGAAGTTAACATTTAATGCTTACTACAATCTTTCTGCTCGTTCTTTTGCCATTTCCTGCTTGTGCCAAGAAGGGTGGCCAGGGCATGTTGTGTACCCATTAGTAAGATTGCTTCACAGGTTTCTGGGTGAGTTTTTGCCTCTTAGTAGGCAGCTACAGTACATTAAAATATTCACTAGATAAAACATCCAGCTTCACCAAAAACCAGTGCATTTGTCACTTTGCCTTTTGGGGCTAATCGTGTGCTACTGCATTATCTACTAAAAATAACATTTACTTTGATAGACACCTTCTGTACTGGTCTTAGAAAATGTTATTAGGCTGCATTTATGAAAGGAACTTTGAGGAAGAGAGCCGAGATCCTTCGTTATCCTAGGAGTTGCTCCATAGTGCTAGAAAACGTTTGATTTGGCCTGTTCTTTTCTTAATCTCATGTATTAAGTTTTACCTGTGTCATTTCAGTCAGATATCCATACTTTCCTGGTGCTCTGTCAGTTCTCTGAAGCAATGAAAACATTTTGATTAAGTTTAGATGTATTGCTAATTTTTCACACTGTTGTCTCCAGGAGAGGGAGGGAGGAGTTTATTTCAATTAGGGCAAGATGGGATTTGTAATTACACTGGTTTTGCTGGAAGCTGCTATCTTCACTCACCGTTTTTGCTCTGCTTTTTTGCTGTTCCAATACTGCTTCTTAGGTGTGGCTTTTAAAAGCAGACAAGAAATTGAGTTGAAGTGTAGAGTAATTAATTCAGACTGTTTTAGGCCACTGTTTGTATAAATTCACAAGAGGCATGCATTGAATCCTTTCAAACGCTTTGATCCTCAGTGTTGCAAGTGCTGCACTGTCCATGAGGCACTAATTAGGAGTTTGCTCTCCCCTCTAAATCATTTTAAAATGTGCAGGTGCAACAGTTTTATCGCTCTGGCTTTAATGAGTTTTTAGTTACTTCAAAAACTATTAGCTTGCAAGGAATCCTATCGCAGATGCATTTCTACAGCACTGAATAGAAAGTAAAACTATTTTCAGAAAGTTTATTGAGGGATTAGATGTGGAATCCCACAAGATACTTTAATAGAAAAAAAATGGAATAAGGAGAACTGTAGAGGAGTCAGGACTGGCTAAATAAGGGAATTTTAAATTAAGGGGGTTTATTGATAGGGAGCAGATTTGTGCTGGGTCAAATACTTGCATATTTTAACTAATCATTTGGGTTGAAGAACATGACAATTCTCTTCATAGGTGAATCTAGGAGCAATCACAAGATTTTGAACAACAGGGTTTCAGTGCAGCATGGGTTTGAGAAGGTAGGCTAGAATGGAAAAAGTGCCTCTGAAGAATAAAAATATAAATTAAAAATGGGAGAAGAACATCATGCGTGGAGACCTCATAGCAGCCTTCCAGTATCTGAAGGGGATCTACAAGGATGTTGGGGAGGGACTCTTCGTTAGGGACTGTAGTGGTAGGACAAGGAGGAATGGCTTTAAACTTAAACAGGGGAAGTTTAGGTTAGATCGAAGGAAGAAGTTCTTTACGGTGAGGGTGGTGAGGCACTGGAATAGGTTGCCCAAGGAAGTTGTGAATGCTCCAACCCTGGCGGTGTTCAAGGCCAGGTTGGACAGAGCCTTGGGCGACATAGGTTAGTGTGTGGTGTCCCTGCTCATGGCAGGGGGGTTGGAACTAGATGATCTTAAGGTCCTTTCCAACCCTAACTATTCTATGATTTTATGCTAAAGGAATCCTGCTTTGAAGAAGTACCCTTGGGAATGCTGTGCAGTTATCTAGCTAAAAAATGGAAATTGAGTCAGCACTCACAAAAATACCTGTGCGTATCAATACGCCAGAGAATTCTTTGGCTAGGAAAATGTGAACAAACCTGAAAAAACAAGGTATCAGTGTGAATTTTGAATCTAGAATAAGAAATCGCAAGAAGATGGTAGATATGCATTCCAGGTTATTCATGAATTCGGAGAAGACAAGAAGGTTTGTCTGCCCAGATGAGTGTTCCCAGCTGAAAATGTGCCACATTTGCATCCTGGAGAGAAAATCAGCAAGTTCATGCTTTAATTTAGAAGGTGATTATGTGGAATCTTTGCAAAATTGACATAATGTCCTTGCTCTGATTTTGGAAGGTGGTAAAAAAGAGTCCAGACCAGGAAGTGAAAAGGTAGAGACATAAAATAATCTCTCTTTATGCAACGTCAGAAAGTTAAAAAGCCTCTAGGTCATCTCTTACTTTCTAATTATATATGTAGAAAGAGATCTTAATTGAAGCAGTTTTCATTTTTAAAGGAAAGAAACTAGAACTTTTAAATGTTGAAGTGTGATCACTGATTTTAGGATATTTCCTGTCAGCATCCATTCCAGCAGTGATACGAAGATACTGCTTCTGTTGCACAAGGTGCAGGCAGCAGCAATTGAATATAATTATAGTTTTGGTGACTGCTATTAGAGAAAGAGAGATTCAGACTAAAACAGATGGAAAGAAGGGATGCCAAAGGGAAGATCTAAGAGAGCATGGTTTGTTTCATATAACAAAACCAGGGCTGGAGGAGGGTACATGCTGCTGTCTGAAAATACTTGAAGAAGGGAAAGATTGTAAGACAAAGAACAGCACTTGCCTAAAACCATAGGTGCTCTTACTGATAAGAAATAAATTTAGCCAGAAACTAAATAGGTGCTAAAACCGAAGCAGCAAGATTACAGAACAGCTATACAGAGAATGAACAGTGCAAAAGAAACTGTTCCAGTGTAAGATTTAGTACTGAGCTTCTGAATGGTGACAGGGTGGTTGTTCTATAATGCGCTATGAGAATGGCTACCAGTCTCCATGGCCAACTGAATCCCTTCTAACCTATGTGGCAGGTAAGAACTCATTAACCTCTTTTATATAACACAGTCTGTATGCATATGGAAGCTCCTAACAGCTCCTTCTCATTAGGTCTAATAGATAAGGATTATGACTTGTCTTTGATCCATCACTTATAGACAATTTAATTTATTTTGCTGTCCTTGCCTAGCTGGTAAAGGGAGCCGATAGAGGCTGAAGTAATACAAGATACATGACAGGTGAAGGAAAGAATCAGGTGTGCTTACCATTGGCACCATTAATTTTTCATCAGAGATTAAAATACTTGTATGCTGCTGGGTCAACAAACAGTGCTGATTTTCTTCCATTAAAAGACTATTCTCAAAATGACAAGTATTAAGTGCAAACATAATCTGTTGCAGGAGCGACTGTGCTAAACACTTCCTCTTTCTGTTTAAAAACTGCACTCCCAGGCACAGGTGTGATACAAACCCATAGTTTTTTGCACTTAACTACGTGAGTCAAGAAGGCAAAACCACTTCTGTTTTTTTGTACCGTTGCCTAAAAACTGAGTCAAATCTTCAGGCCTTGCAGAACTGTTCCATCTGAGGGACAGTTTGGTGCTGGAAGTAAGGTACAGTCATAGTGTAATCATACTCAAGAAAAATACACATGCCACATGCCTTTTTCTCTTTCCTTGCTCCAGCTGCACACCACTGAGGTTTGAACTCAAGGGGCTGCTGCCCCCCAATTCTCCCAAGTCGCTGCTCAGCCTCCTCACTCCAGCCGCCTCATTCCCACACCTGCAGTCATGTTCACTCCTGGTACTTAGCAGTGAATCCCGGTGTGCCACCTGCTCCAGTGCTTTGCTGATGGCCTTCACTGTTTGCACCTACTTACATAACAAGATTTTTATTTTTAATTGTTCTTTTTATTCGATTATTTATTTTAATAAAGTTGACAGACTTCAGTAAGGGGGAACCATTAGCAATTTTCAGCATAATAGAAAAGTTCAGGACTGAAACACTCCAGTAATTATATACTGGTAATTATTGCATGTTTAATCTTCAGTAGCAATGCTATTTTGCTTTTTATTTACTATTTCATTTAATTGATTGATTTCTTGGAACAGTATCATCAAGGCCTGTTTCACCATATAGTTGCAACAGCATGCAAAATACACAGCAGTATTTTGAAATCTTTACCTTTCAGGAAGAAGTTGCAACAGCATTTTCATGTAAAACCACACAGACAACCTGGACAGATTACTAA